GCACGTGCACTCTGCTACCTTCTAAGGCACAATAGAAGGAGGCTAGAAAGAAAGTGGAGCAGCCAAGACTCAAACTGACACTATGATATGGGATGTGTACATTTATAATGGCAGATTAATGTGCCACACCACAATGCCAGCCCCTATTCCAAAATCTGACAAGTGAAATGTCTTGTCTCCTTGAATTTCTTTTTTTTTTTTTTTTTTTTTTTGGCAGGCAGAGTTAGACAGTGAGAGAGAGATACAGAGAGAAAGGTCTTCCTTTTTCCGTTGGTTCATCCCCCAAGTGGCCGCTAGGGCCGGCATGTTGCGGCCGGTGCAATATGCCGATCCGAAGCCAGGAGCCAGGTGCTTCCTCCTGGTCTCCCATGCAGGTGCAGGGCCCAAGCACTTGGGTCATCCTCCACTACCCTCCCGGGCCACAGCAGAGAGCTGGACTGGAAGAGGAACGACCGGGACAGAATCCAGTGCCCCAACTGGGGCTAGAACCCGGGGCGCCCGCGCCGCAGGCAGAGGATAAGCCTAGTGAGCCATGGTACCGGCCAGTCTCCTTGAATTTCTGACTTAGACTGGAAATGAAAAGTGACTTGAACATCAATTACAGATGCATTTTATGTGTTATTACAAATCACTTGCCTCTAACTTCAGTGTTACCTGATAAATACAGGTTATGAGAATGTTGTTTGTTGTGTGAAATTCTTGGAAATATCTAATATTTAGACCTAAATCCTTGCCATGTATGCATGCACATGTATACTCACACCATTAGCTTGGAAGAACTTTTAACAAAAAATAAGTGAAGTTGACTGAAAATGATATGTAAAGATTACTAAAGTGCTCATATATGCAAACATAGCCCTTGCTGCCATTATCACCAATGTGCCCTCCCTAAATTACTCTGGGTCATCAGAGAAGTGATTTGCCTGCTGAAATCTGAACCAGTGCTAACATTTGAAGTATACTACTACTACTCTAAAAAGTAATTTAGTCTACACTCCATAACATTAACTATATGCCATTCATCTAGCTCTTGTAAGCAGCTACTGAGGCATTGATTTTGGAGCCAAACTTTAGGGCACAATATGAGTAGATTTGGTGAAACAATAAAAAAAATAAAGTAAACACTTAAATTCATTGTTTTTGATATATTTCTTAATTATATCTGTTAAATCTAGATAATTAAAAATTCTTTTGTTCATGCATTTTATCACGTGCAGAAAAATACATAGAGAAATTTAGACATTGGGATATTTGAGCATTGATGTTTTTCATTACAAACAGTAACAAAGTAATGCAGTAATCCAGTTGTGTAATGCCTTGACACAGTGTGATTTTCATTACATTATTAACATAATTTTTCTTATTCACACTCAAATATAAAAACTTGAATTTCATTGCTATGACAAAATACTGACTTCACACATTAAATGAACAATAGCAAGTATTAATCAAAAACACATTTTTTATGACATTTAATCGTGATTCTTTTAATCCCTGCCTAAAAAAAGTCATTATGTTTTTCAAGGTTGCAGAGAAGCTTGATATGTTATAACTGGGTTGCTGATACTAAACACTTTAAATGTTCCTCCAGTATAATCAAAATAGCTTTAGCAAAATTTTAAAGTTGTGCATCATTACTTAGAACAGAAGGGAAATAAAGAATCATCATTTTAAATTGGTAGTATGAAATTTAAAGAACTACTTTACTTTTTAAATTACATTGAAAGCATGGATTAAAATTAGTTTAATAGTCTGGGCAAAATATGTAGATACAAACTCATAAAAATCTATTAAAAATCTAGTAGCTCACTAAAATTAGTCTTGGGGTGAATAAATTAAGGTTTTACAAATCTGAGCAATAATCCTTAAGATAATATATTGTAGTTTCTATTACTCCTCCAAAATATTAAAATATATTTAGAAAATTCTGATCTAATAGTAACTCATCCAACTAATTAAAGATGTCTCAGTTCAATAACCAAAATGTCTTACACTTTTTTAAACTATTTACAATTTTAGATAATACAAATTATATGGTGATTTTTTTAATTGAAAAAAAGTTTTACAAAAGTATTGGGTCCAACAGTGTTATTTTTCAAAGTGCTAAAGCATTAATAATTTTCTCATAAGTCTGTTTTTCTGTCATATTTGTTGTCAGTACCACAACATAGTAAAATCAGTAAGTACAGACTGTAACATTGCAATGATTTCTTCAGTTTTCAATTGATTATTCTATTCTGTAATGATTCATTATTGGAAAAGCAAGTGATAAATATCTATAGTAAAAAATCAAAAGGGGTGTATTGATGCAACAAGTCACTACAAATGAAATGAGAAAGATGAAGCATGTTTTTCCAATGTGAATGTTATTTTTTAGTAAAACTGAGTTCCACTAGACTTGAGTGTTTAATCCCCAGGTTAAAATTGATGAATAAAACATTGTGACTGCCAAGCTAGCATTTTCATATAAAAGTTACAGTCTAAAGCAAATAGAAGGGCCAATGCTGTGGTGTAGTAGGCTAAACCTCTGCCTGTAGTGCTGACATCTCATATGGGAGTCGGTTTGTGTCCGGCTGTTTCTCTTCCAATTCTGTTCTCTGCTTATGGCCTGGGAATGCAGTGGAAGATGGCCCAAGTGCTTGGGACCCTGCATCCATGTGGGAAACCCAAAAGAATCTCCTGGCTCCTGACTTCATATTGGCCCAGCTCCGATTGTTGCAGCCATTTAGAGAATGAACCAACCTGTTGCAAGATTCTCTCTCTCTCTCTCTCTCTCTCTCTCTCTCTAACTCTACATCTCAAATAAATAAAGTAAAACAAATAGATTTAAATGAATAAATATTCCAAAATACATGCCAAATTATCAGTTTTATTTTTCCTGTTATACAATTAAACATGCTATTAAACATAGAAGTATGAGAAATAGCTGATCAAAAAGTTAATCTTCCTTTTTGTTGGAAAGATGACTTTCTCCCTAAATATTAAAAAGAAAGGAGAAAATAAAGTGAGGCAAATAAATGAGTTTGGATGACAGGTTCTTTCTTAGACATTACTAAGTCCCCATAGAATAACTAGGCACCTAACTACAGTAACATCGCCACTAAAATCTTTATTAAAACTGAATGGCATTCTGTTATTCTGAAAAATGGGATACTACCAAAGTTCAGTTCTATCAGCTGTACTGAACAGAGAAGCCATTCACAAGATAAAATGAAACAAGAAACTCTTTAAAAATACATGAAGGGCAAATGTGTTTTCTTTATGAGCTTCACAAATTTGATGCACATTCTAATTTCTTTCTGTTGTAGCTTCCAGGGTTCCGTTGATCTTGTGGCGTGGGAGGACTGTTATGGTGTGAGTCTGTTACCAGGAGGTGTGTGACAGCATTAATTAAGCTGTGCTTTAGGAAAATGAAAGCAAGCAAGATGCATATTTACTTTTCTGCCAATAAACACTTAAATACAGCAAGTGCAGGGATTCCCAGCACAATAATTAGTTGGATAATTTTCTTTCTTCTTTTGTTGTTTCCTTCCTGCCTGCCTCCTTTCCCTCCCCTGTCCTTCCCCTTCCATTTTCTTCCCTTGCTTTCCTTTCCTTTCTCCCTCCTTCCTTCCTGCCGTCTTCCTGTTTTTTTTTCTCTTGTTTTAGCAATAGCTTTTGCATTTTTAATTCATAGTCAGTTAGAAGGGACAACTATCAATCATGGATACAGTACAACTCTCCATCCGTAAACAAATTGAAAGAACACACATGCAATAAAGTTGAGCTTCAAGAACTATTGATGTCTATGAGAGTTTTCTTAAGCAATTTGTCATTGAAATATGTGTGGGATGCTTTTGTCAAAGTTTGCTAAAATAAAATAAACTTCACATGTTGCACTCTTTCTCTTTGAAGGCTCCTTTAGGTACAATATTGAGAAAAGTGATCCCTCTATCATTGCCTAAATATCTGTTATTTTATTCTTATTCCAAATACGCCTTAACTTTCCTCAGAATCATCTCCCACAAATTTTTTATTAATAAGTAGGTTTACAGGCTTTTAAAAAACTGTACCTTTGTAGAAGGCACAAGGAGAAGTTCAAAACACACACACGTGTTGGTTCATCCTCATTTGCCCCTCCATTCCAGTGTCCAAGTCTCTCTCCAAACCAATCTATTCATCAGCCATCCTGTTTTCCTTTATTTATCCTTTTAATGTTTTGTTCTCTGTGCCACATCCCATCCTCAGTCTCCTTAAGGTGTCTTATTCATTATTGTCAACCCTCATCACAGGTGTCTGCCTTCCTCAGTCTCTCCCCTGTGGTGAACTAAATTTTCTTTTTACTTATTTATTCTTATTTATTTATACTTATTTATTTATTCATTATATTTTTAATGCCCATGTCACAGAACCAGTTGCATTTTAGTTTTTCAATTATTTATGGATGGCTCCTGATTGGGCTGTGAGTTCCATGAAAATGGGGTTGTATCCTGTTAATTCCTTTTTGTTGATATATTTTATAATTAAATAATTATAAATAATTTCCTTACATTTCCCTCCACTTCTCTTGCACCAAACTATCAAAGGGAACAGTAGATATGCTCTGTGATTATATCAAGAAATATTTGTCATGGCTAACACTGCTCTTGGTGATATTCATACAGAACTCTGTCCTCTAGGAACCTCCAATTCAGTAGGATAAAAATGCCATACTGATATAAGTTCAGTATTACACTTGAAATAAAGTTTTTGACACATTTTGAAATAAACAGTCTTTGAAATGTAAAATTAAAATTCTGAATAACTAGGTAAGTTGTGGGAGTAGATTTTAAAGAGAAAAATAATTCTGTATTGTTAAATTGGTGTCATCTAGATGAAATGCTATAATCATCAAAACCAATTGCATTGTCTTTTAAAATACCACTTGGGAACAGCATTTGGAGCAGCAGTTAGGCAGTAACCTGAGAAATCTCACATTCCACATTGGAATCTCTGGGTCTGAGTCCTGTCTCTGCTTCTAGTTCCAGCTATCTACTAATGGGCACCCTGAGAAACAGCAAGTGATGGATCAACTGGTTCTGGCTACTCTCCCGGGACACTTGGATTGAGTTTCAGGCTCCTGACTTCGTTCTGACCCAGTTCCACCGTTGAGAGCATTTGGGAATTGAGCCAGCAGATGGAAGAATTCTCCCTATCTCTGAAAGATTTTGCTTTATCTCTGTTTGACTTTCATTCTCTCTCTATCCGTATCCCTTACAAATAGAAATAACTTAATAAAATGCTACTTAGTTTCCTCCAAATGATTTATATTTTGTTAACTCCCCTTTTGGATTACAACTTTCTACTAGTGGTTCATTTTTTGGGGGGAATTTATAATTGCCTTTGGTTTTGCTTTGTTCATGGCATGTGATATACCAAGAAATAATTATCTTCAATGAATCATGAAGTTGACTAATTGCTTAATAACACTGCTTGTTTTTTTTTTTTTTAAAGATTTATTTATCTATTTGAAAGTCAGAGTTACACAGAAAGAGAAGGAGAGGCAGAGAGAGAGAGAGAGAGGTCTTCCATCCGCTGGTTCACTCCCCAAGTGGCTGCAACAGCCGGAGCTGCACTGATCCGAAGCCAGGAGCCAGGAGCTTTTTCCAGGTCTCCCACGTGGGTGCAGGGGCCCAAAGAGTTCAGCCATCTTCTACTGCTTTCCCAGGCCTAGCAGAGAACTGGATTGGAAGTGGAGCAGCCGAGACTCAAAACCGGTGCCCCTATGGGATGCCAGCACTGCAGGCGGCAACTTTATGGGCTTTGCCACAGTGCCGGCCCCAACACTGCATGTTTAAAGGACAATATAGGCTTCAGAAGGCAATAACTTAGAGATGTCCTTAAATTGCACTTGAGGCTTGTCCACAGTTTATTAATTGTTTCAATTTTGGTAGCCTTTGCTCAATTGTGCCTGCAAATTATACTTTAGAAAGCATTCAGACTTCCTTCATCTTTGTGTTCTGAAAATACTCTGTTCACACTTGATAGCTTACTTGGGAATGCCACCTATAATATTTCTGTTTCAGTTGGAATAGATGCACAACAAGAATTGTTATGAACAATTGAAGATGATAATAACATTTATGGTTTTTGTTTATGAAATAACTGCATATCTGTACCCCACTCTGGTGGTCTTCCTGTATCCTGATCACACATAAAATCATTTATTCAATTTTAGCATTTATTTATTACCTTCTGTGTGTCAAGAGTGATTCTAAAGGCTTGGAAAAAAAGAGTGAAACTTTCACTCCCAAGAAAGACGGCTATTTACTGGTGAGATAAGTGAGCTCACTGACTTCAATGAGCTCACTTGCCAGTAAACTAAGAACACTAACACTAAAACACGTTGAGTCATACACGTCTCTGAATATCCATAGATTGCTGCCTTTTACTGGTCGTACTACAACAGACTTCCCACATATTCCCTCAGATATCCAGATCCAGTACTCCTTAGATCTAACTGGGGTCTACACACCGATGAATCTCACCATCCTCTTGTTTTCCTCCTGTGTGTTCCTCCTCTTTCAATATTCATATTTCTCCTTATAATGATTCATGTTCATGATGATCATTATTACTAACCACTGGTATGGATGTTTGCCACTGTTCTTCTGATTTGTCAAACTCTCTTCAGTAAACCCTAAACTGGTTAAAATTTATCAATCTTCCAGTTTGGTTTCAGTACCCATGTAGCTAAGTGTAGCTGGAAACAAATACATAACTCTTCATTGTCACACTCCTTTTTCCTGCCTCTCATAAATGTTCACCAGGTTCTTATCTGTTCAGAGATTTTGCCTGGGCTGTCTCCGTGCCTTGGAGCTTCCTCCCTCAATTTTCATAGGACTCACTGCCCCACACTCAAATAGCTCCACTACCTGTGGAGTCCCTCCTGGTTGAAATTTTAAAACAGAATGTACATATTCTATTTTATATTCATATATTTGTATTTCATAGAATCATTCTCCCATAACATCCTGCTTTTATTTCACAAAATGAAATATATATAGAATTCTGTAGGAAAATTACATTAAAATGGTATTATGGAATTAATAATAATGTGCTTCCTAATTCATGCAGATCTTGCTTTAGAGCTAACAATTATCAAAATTTACCAAAAGTGATGGGAGTAAATGATCACTTGAGGTATTGTGACAACCATAACATAACAAAAATATCTGATCGGTTTCTATTTATGAAAAATTCACAGGTAGTGACCATACTGTTTGAATAGTTTAATTAATAGCTTAATAGTTTAATAAAATTTTAATAATAATTGAAGTTAATGCCCATTTTCAATTAGAGATTTTTAAAAATGTTTTGTTTTTCTCATCTAAGTTTGTAAACTTCATTAATTCTACCCACGGGATACTTAGAAGTTTATGGAACCCTTGTTAAGAAACCTGACTAGTCCAATTCCCTGATGTTATGGGTAAGAGACTCAATATTCTAATGCTTTATTGATTTAGTTAAGTGGGGACGAAAGGGCTAAGACTGAATGTTGACTCTCCCAGCTCTCGTTCCACTGCTGAGTGACCAAAGCACAGTCCTCAGCATAAGCAAAACAGCAGCTTTGTGAGTAAATACACTTTCAAGGACAAATTGAAAACATCAGGAAGACTATTCTAATGTGACAGTGATTGGATAGGTCTTTAAATGAATCTAAAATTTCAAGTACTACTTACTAAATTAAGGATCAAAACATTTACAGTCCCGTTATACTCCCTCTTCTTCCTTTTGTTTATTTTCTTGGGACACTGATGATTAACTAAATAAAAAACTCCAGTACTGGGGCCAGCACTGTGGCACAGCAAGTTAAGCTATGGCCTGCAGTGCTAGCATCCCAAATGAGCACCTGTTTCTCTCCCGGCTGCTGCACTTCCAATCCAGCTTCCTGCTAAGGTGGCTGGGAAAGCAGTAAAAGAAGGCCCCTGGGCCCCTGGCATCCACATGGGAGACCCTGAAGAAGCTCCCAGCTTAGACCTGGCCCAGCCTGGTCATTGCAGCCTTTTGGGAAGTGAACCAGTGGATGGAAGATGGATCTCTCTCTCTCTCTCTGTCTAGCTCTCTCCTACTGTCTTTGTAACTCTTTCAAGTAAATGAATAAATCTTTTTTAAAAAATCCAGCAAAAAAACTTCAATATCTCTTTAATATACATGTTTTTTTGCTAACTTGTTTTACTATGTAACCTACTAGACCATAGGCTTCATAAAGTTGAAACTTGCCTTGTCCCAACATCACTTCATTCCTTCCACTATGTTGCTTGTTGCAGAGTGGTATCAAATAATATTTGTTGAATGAATTAATTTACTAAATTTTAAAGTAAATTCTATATAGTATAACTTTTTATTTTACAAACACATTTTTATTTAAACATAATATAGAATGACCTACTAATAAGTAAAATTCAATATATCTTACTTGCTAGCTGACAAGAGGTTAATGCAAAAATCATAAACTAGTATAAAACGAATACAAAAATACTATAATGTAATTAATATTCTTTATTTTAAAGTATGAGGAATCATAACAATGTGGACTCTTATGAAGAGGTAATTTATAATCTATAGATGAGACTCAATAAGGTATTGTACTCATTCAATACTAGTGTTTATAAGAGTATACTTAGAATATTTGTCTTGTACATCACAGAAAAAAAGCAAACTTACAATTTCTTAGGGAAAGCTTGCCTAAGAAAATGTGTCTGTTCATAAAAGAGCAGTTAGAATTCTCTAAAGGAATCTTCAGCTGTTTGTGCAGGTAGGTGGAAGATGCAATGTCTAAAATGAAGGGAGACATTGGGAAAGCTGGTAGGAGGACTAAGTGAAACAATGCAGGCAGAGGCAAAAGCACAGCAGTGGGCAAGAATTTATGACCTTGATGTGGGTGGTGAGGAGAAGCAAGTAAGAAATAATATGTTATAGCAATAAAAGTAAGAAATACTCAGAAGAAAACCTGATTTTTTTTTTTTTTTTGACAGGCAGAGTGGACAGTGAGAGAGAGAGAGACAGAGAGAAAGGTCTTCCTTTTGCCGTTGGTTCACCCTCCAATGGCCGCCGCGGCCAGCGCGCTGCAGCCGGCGCACCGCGCTGATCCGATGGCAGGAGCCAGGAGCCAGGTGCTTTTCCTGGTCTCCCATGGGGTGCAGGGCCCAAGCACCTGGGCCATCCTCCACTGCACTCCCTGGCCACAGCAGAGGGCTGGCCTGGAAGAGGGGCAACCGGGACAGAATCCGGCGCCCGACCGGGACTAGAACCTGGTGTGCCGGCGCCGCTAGGCGGAGGATTAGCCTAGTGAGCCGCGGCGCCGGCCAGAAAACCTGATTTTTAAAAGGTCCTTTTTCCATAGGGTCAGGAAAGTTGAAAGCACATTGCGTTCACGGGTTTGTGAAGGATACTGAACACCCAGTCACCTCATAGTAGTCATAAGAATTTGTCTCCATTTTAATCTAGAGAAATTAGTTCCTAGATCTCTCCTTGCATAATGGGCACATTATGAAATGTAGGGTTATTTGGGATGAATGAAAAACCGTGCTGTTGAATGAAAACTTTTCTCTGTTTTAATTCTTATTAAAGATCCTTCTTGATTCTAATGAGAACTGGGGCAATGCTTAAGAGGCTACACGCTTATGTTACATAATGTTGGGTGCAGTTCTGCGTTTCCCTGCTTACCTGCTCTGTAACAATATGCGTGTGCTTAACCTACCTAAATATTGTTTTTTCTGTGATAAAATAAGTGAATGAATAAATAAAGCACAGAATCAGGCTCAGTACATAGATAATAAGCCCTCAATAAGAAATGGATATTATTATTGTTGCTTTTGTTGCTGTTGTTTTTATTATGTGTTAGATCCAAATCTGATCGAATTTATTTGCTTGAAGTTCTTCATTTCTTGTTCACGCATCAGAAGAAGAGCATTTTCTATAATTATTTTTATTTTATAACTTAAAATTACAATAGGAGTGGTAAATATATGTGAGTTTGCCTGCAATTGTTCAATTATATAAAGATTTAAATTCATTTATTAAAAATTTAGAGGCAGATTACACCAAGTATACAAATGACTCAGACATATAAAGTGATAGTTAAGGGACACTAAATTGGTTGAATTCTGCCTATAGTTAATCAGTATTAATGGTGTTTTGCTGATATCCATATTTCAACATGACTCTTAGATACAGAAAATGCATGGGAAGCAGACTTCTTTCCCAGGGCTGAATGTTTACAAAGATTTTATATTTTTTCAAACAAATAATCTCATATTTTAAAGAGAAATGTTAAAATAGATAATGCTGAAGTTTAACACCAAAACAACTGATTGCATTTCAACAAAATACCATGTTGCTCAGAAGGTGAAAGAAAAAAAAAAAGATTTGATTATTGTTTATAGCCCTCTGTATTTTCCTGCTAAACTCTGGTATTTTTACTTTTGATTTGTTAAGTCTTTATTTAGTAGGCCATTAAGGCTTTAAATATAATGTAAATTTAAAAATATGTATTTGAAAATAAAATAGAGATCTAACCTCCAATCTATATTGGCATATATGTTAGTAAGGGTAATTATTTTCTTCTTGAAGATTCTCTATAAAGGATTTTGTTTAAAATCTGTGCTATTGTTATTATTTGAAAGAAAGACAGAGTTTTCCCATGCACTGGCTCACTCAATTGTTGCCTGCAGTGACCGGGAATAGACCAGACTGAAGATGAGAATTCAATCTAGTACTCCTTTGTAGGTAGCACTGACCACTTCCCCCGTTCTCTGGATGTCTGTATTGACAGACAGCTGGAATGAAAAATGAAGCTGGGATTTCATATGGGATATGAACATCCTACTGTTGTCTTAATAGCTAGGCCAAACTTCTGGCCCCATAAAGAGTTTTGAAACAAGAGTTTAATTGTTGTAAATTAAACTATAGCTAACTACTAAATTAAAATAAAGTTTAATTGTCCTACTAAACTTGTCCCTTACAGTAAATGTGTAATCAATATTTTTGGTACATACTATTTATATAACTAATATATTATAACTCATCTTCTTCCAAAAGAAAATATCTATAATCCAATTGAAACCAATGTTCTGTTATTGAGGTTCAAACTGATTGCTGGATGTCTTGAGGAAGATTATGAAAGCCATAATATGGGGAATAAGGTAATAGGAAGGATTTTTCCAAAATGACCTCACAACTGTATAGGATTGTCACTAGATACCACAGAGGCAGCAAAAATGGACTGAATCCATAGATTATATAAATCTAATATATAATAACAGAAGGTTACAAAAATGTGTAAAATGTTTACTAACCTACTCAAGATATTAAACTGCATTGGTATTCATTGGAAAAATACTTTACCTTTAAAAAGGGTGTAATTTATTAAAAATGAATGAAGAAAAGTAAAGTAAGGTTTTATAAATATATATTAGGAATATGCAAACATTTTAGAAAGACTTGTATAAGAATGTTGATATACAGGGACTGGTGTTGTGGCATAGCAGATGCCGGCATCCCGCATGGGTGCCAGTTGATGTCCCAGCTGTACCACTTCCAATCCAGCTCACTGGTAATGGACTGGGAAAAGAAATAGAAGGTGGTCCAATTGTTTGGACTCCTGCCACCATGTGGAAGTCCTGGATGAAGTTCCTAGCTCCTAGCTTTGGCCTGGTTCAGCCCTGGCTATTGTACCAACTTGGGGAATGAACCAGCTAATGGAAGATTCTCTCTCCCTCCCTCCATCTCCCTCTCTCCCCCTTCCTCTCCCCCTCCCTCACTTCTTCCTCTCCCTCCCCCTCTTCCTCTCCCTCTCTCTCTCCCTCTCTCTGTAACTCTGACTTTCAAAAACACAAATATTTTTTAAAAAAGAAAGAATATTCATATGAGTATTGTACATGATAGTCACAAACTGGAAACAGTCCAAATGTCCATCATGTATAGTAAGGATAAATAAATTGTAGTTTATTTTTCCAATGGATTATCACACAAGAAGGAGAACACTAAAAACTACCAATTTCAAAACAATGTGAGTGAATTTCACAAAAATGATGTTAAATTAAATAATTAGACACAAAGAGTAATGTTAGAGAGCGTGTTCATGACCTTGACAACATATATTAAAAGTTACCCTAGATATGGAAATTTAGCAGTTGAGAGATATCTCACAGTGATTCCAGAAAATTGGTTATGTTCTTTATATGACCTGGCTATAGGTCACACAGGTAGGTATATTCACTTTGTTAAAAAAAAAAAAAAATCATACAGGCCAGCGCCGCAGCTCACTTGGCTAATCTTCCGCCTGCAGCACCGGCACCCTGGGTTCTAGTCCCGGTTGGGGCGCCGGATTCTGTCCCAGTTGTTCCTCTTCCAGTCCAGCTCTCTGCTGTGGCCCGGGAAGGCAGTGGAGGATGGCCCAAGTGCTTGGGCCCTGCACCTGCATGGAAGACCAGGATGAAGCACCTAGCTCCTGGCTTTGAATCAGCACAGTGCACCAGCCGCAGCGCACCAGTCGCAGCACGCCAGCCGTAACAGCCTTTTGGAGAGTGAACCAACAGAAGGAAGACCTTTCTCTCTGTCTCTCTCTCTCACTGTCTAACTCTGCCTGTCAAAAAAAAAATCATACAAAGGAACTGGTGCTGTGGCATAGCAGGTAAAGGCACCGATGGAAGTGCCGGCATCCCATATGGGGGCCGGTTCCAGTCCCGGCTGCTCCACTTCCGATTCAGCTCTCTGCTATGGCCTGGAAAAACAGTAAAAGATGACCCAAGTCCTTGGGTCCCTGAACCCACGTGGGAGACCTGGAAGAAGCTCCTGGCTCCTGGCTTCGGATCGGCACAGCTCTGGTCATTTTGGGCAGTGAACCAGCGGATGGAAGACCTCTCTCTCTCTCTCTCTCTCTCTCTCTCTCTCTCTGCCTCTCTGTGGGGAGCAACTGGAAGCAACTTGGACTAGACTAAGTTACTGGAATTAAGACTTATTCTATGCATCTGCTCTCCCACAATATGGCGCTGGGAGAGGAGGAAACAGCTTCTACACAGCTGCCTCTCACCAACTTGACAAGCTGCAGGACCTGCTCCTGATTGGAGGAGAGCAGTGTACTCGGCGTGTGGGTAGCAGAGTTGGGATTGGTGGAAGAGGACTATAAAGGAGGAGAGAGACAACATGCACCAGGAACATCTATCTGAAGGAACACCTGTGCAGCCCCCGAGAGAGCCGGCCGGCGGTGTGCCGCTCCCCCGCGGAAGTGGGGAAAGTGGCTAGGGGGAACTGCCCTTCCACGGAGGTGGAAGGGACGGTAGCCAACCCGGGAAGAACCAGCAGCAAAACCGGGGAGGGCCGAGCAGACAAAAGAACAGCGCAGGGTCCCGTGTCGTTCCTCCATGAAGACGGGGAGCGACATAATGGTGCCGTGACTTGGATAGCAAACCTAGGAGGGAAGAAACGGGAAGAAGTGGGAAAATACCGGAGAGAGAGACTAGCAAAGAGCCTAGGGAAAAGCCGGACGGAAAAGGTGCCGGAAGAAGCTATTGAAAGCCTAGGCATAGACTCGGATACGGACTGTGGGAAAGAAGTTAGGATTGGACGTTAGGATTGAAAGCAAAAGTGAAAGCTAGAACAAACAGACTCGGATGCGGACTATGGTGGGGAAGCTAGGAGATTAAAAGCGAAAGTGAAAGCTAGAACAAACAGACTCGGATACGGACTGTGGGGAGAAGCCAGGAGAAATGAGAAGGGAATATTGTTGGAAGAAAAGTTAGGAAACATACCGGATAGAGAAAAATATGTTAGGGAGGATGAAGCCGCGGGGGCAGGCTGAGGCGGAGACGTAAGCTAGCTTGGAATTCTTCAAGTCAGCCCGGGGAGCAAAAGGCGAAAATCTGGAACCAGAGGCAGAGACGTGGGCCGCCAGGTTGGAATCCGTCAGATTAGCCCGGGGAGCAAAAGACGGGAAGCCAAACCGGGGGGCCCAGACGTGAGCTAGGTTGAATTCGCCAGGTTAGCCCGGGGAACTTGGACTGAATGCAGGTGGCGGAAACGTGAGCTGGGCTGTGTGACTCGCGGAAGCCGCTGCACGCAGAGAGAGCGCGCGGGGCACAAACGGGGAGAGCACAACGGGGCGCGAATAGAAGCCGGTAAGCTGCGCAGAGCCGGGAAGCTGCCGCAGGGCGGGCCCTGGGAAGCCGGGGGAATAAGAGAAACAAGTT